AGGTGGTACCCCACCAATGGTCGAGTGGTGGGGGTGTGTGATCATGGTCCAGTGGTGGGGGTGTCCAGTGGTGGGGGTTGAAGGGTGGGGGTGTCAAGTGGTGGGGGACGGCATCGAGTGAGGTAAGGACACACTGATGAATATGCATTACACAGCCACACGCCGTGTAGTGCACATCTCGCTCTCCTACTATGAAACGGTTGCTGCTGCTGTGACGTCACACCACTACTGACTTGGTGGGCTCACACCGATGGAACATTCATTACTTGGAGGATCTTTGAAGTATGCAGACGTACACAGACACGCAATGATAAACCCTGTACCATGCATACACACACACACACACACACAGATACACACACCAACCCTCAAGGTCAACCTAATTACACCATTACGTCATCAATGACGTCATATTAGTGGGGGAGGCATGAGTCGGACATGCCGTTCAAGGTCACCCTAATTACACCATTACGTCATTAATGACGTCATAGTGGTGGGGGAGGCATGAGTCGGACATGTCGTTCAAGGTCACCCTAATTACACCATTACGTCGTTAATGACGTCATAGTGGTGGGGGAGACATGAGTCGGACATGTCGTTCAAGGTCACCCTGATTACACCATTACATCGTTAATGACGTCATAGTGGTGGGGGGAGGCATGAGTCGGTCTAGGTCATTCACCCCACGTGACGTCAGAGTGGTGGGGGAGGGTCATTCATCCCACGTGACGTCATAGTGGTGGGGGGAGGCTTAGAAACGGCTCAAATCTCCTACTGGAAAGAACCAGGAGAAGGTTGGGATTTCCCAACTGTTTTTTCGACTTGGAAAAGTTGGTAAATTTCGGACCGTGAAAATAGAAAAAATAATAGTAGAAAACAATAAGCACAATATTATTTAAGTGTTTTTTCCTTTCATTTGTATTGAATATTCCTATACATGGTGGAAGACCAAGGATCTTGGTCCAATGTAGAATAATTCCCATTGTTATTTTCATAATTAATAAGATTTATTTTTGTTTGTGCATTATCTAACGGGCATAAGCATTCAGCCAATCTTTGGATAGCTAAGTAAGAAAATTAATATATTATAGTTGTAACTAATTCCTTGGCTTTCGAAAGTTGGGAAATTTTGCTGGTAGGGTTCGGAAAATTTGGATTCCCCCCTTCCGGTATTTCGTTTCGCTACGGCCCTGGTCATAGGGATGCGGTAGATATTTTAATAGAATATTTGACAATATAACACAAATTTTTATATGGATTATCGTGAAAGCTGCAAAACAATTATTATAAGGAAAAATATATTATCAGTCCCATAACAAACATATTTATTTTGTTTGAACTTAACAACAAATAAATAATTGCACAAAGAAACTTTCTTTCAGTTATCTCAATGGTGCGATTTTGTTGCACCATTTTCATAAAAGAGGACGTATGCTTCTCCACTCAAGCGATTTTGGTGAAATTGGTGTTACGTGTGAATCGTATTTGTGCCACGCGCCAGTATACGGGTGTCTGAAGTATGTTGTATAATGCCCTCTGTAAGTAGTCCCACTGTGATATAAAAGTGCATATAGATTATAACAACAAGTAGTTATATTTTCTGCTGCAAAATTGTCCATATCCAATCCTTCCAGAGGAAATTAGATGACATCATTCAATTTGCCTCTAAATCTTTCCGTTGGAACAAATATTTTTAAATGAATTACTAAAATATGGGGGAACTTGTGGATTGATTGATAGGGACTTTGTGCATTTTCTCCTTTCCTTGCATTTCGAACACGTCGATTTTTCATTTCCATCCAAAGTTTCTTCTCTTGTGAACGAATCCAAGCATTGCCACAAACTTAATTATTGGTCAGTATTTTGTGGTATGGAGAGAGACAAATCCCAGAAAGGATCAAAGGTTATTGATGGGTGTCCACAGTGTGTGCATTTCATCGTGGATTTCAATTGACCAACGAAACTATCTACAATCTTAGAGTTATGCATCCTCAAATATGTGAGCCATGACTTTTGTGCATTTTCGCTGTCGCTCAATTTTTCGTCAGTCTCCGTAAGGATTGGTTTAGGTTCCTCATTAATTATATTAACGTCTTCATGTCAACCTTCTAAAAGATAACGAAGAAACTCCTGGGCGTCTTGATGGGAATTACCCATGACTCGAGGAGCAAAACTTTTAATGTGATTTTTTTAAAAGACTGTATTTACTACTCTATCAAATGAATTCATCCTTTTTCAAATATTCCAACAGGTGTTACCAATATTTTTCAACCCATTTAACCCAAGGGTTTTGACTGAAGAATTTATTACTGGACAATCGAAATATCTTTCTTTATAAAGTTGGTTTTCAAGAAACATGTAAATTTCATCCATCAGGAAGAATACCGTAAAAAGAAGCCGCATTTCCTCTTTAGATGGCTATACTAATTTTTTGAGTGAGAAAAGATGTGGCTCTTGATTCGTGGGTTTCATTGGTTACCTTTTTTCCAATTTCATTGATGAAAAATAAGGCTTCAGAGCAAAAACACCAAAAGGCTGGTTCTATGGAAGGGTTTATTCCAGAAGCCAGTTTATTGTTCTGTTCAAAATCTTTGACCTTAGATTACTATGGAGAAATGAATAGTACAATTTTCACCAAGTGGATTACTTTACAGTTACTTCCCAATTTGGAAGAACCATCTTCAATTATAATGGACAATGCACTGTACCGCAGTGAAATTTTGAATAAACAGTCTACCAGTTCTTCAAGAAAATCGGAAATTGTAAGTTGATTACACGAAAACAACATTGATTTTGATGAAAAAATTAACAAAACCAGAATTATTGCAATTTAAGATGAACCGAAAGGAAAAATGAACTGGTACGAGAACATGGACATGAAGTATTAAGATTATCACCTTACCACCCAGATTTTAATGCTATTGAAATAATTTTGGCTGATTGCGAAACCTACGATAACAAATATATTGGTAGAGATGGATACAGTGATGAAAAAGTATTAAGTATGTGGAATGAAGCGTTAGAGAAGTGCAATGCTGAAACCTGGGCAAAATGTGTGAAACACACCGAATCACTCATAGAAAAATGGTATGAACGAGAAAAGCTTCTTTGTGATATGGATATACACTACACTATTATTATAAACATTGGTGAAAGTTTTGAATCTGAAAGTGATTAATATATTTTTTTTTCATAAATGGTAGGTGCATAATTGGTACGTGCTCGCAATGCATACATATATGTATAAATAAATTTTTAGTTGATGATGTGTTGAGTATTTCCTGACCAAATATATTTCAACTGGTGTTTTTTTTTACTTCTTAGACATTCATTTGTGTCTCTGCATCCATGCACGGATAATTCAATGGAAGCTCGTTTGTTAAGCTAATTTTCAAGTAATATTTGATATAATTTGTGATGTGATGTGTTGCATAGTTCCTGGGATTTTTAAAAATCATTTATTTGATATTAGGTTTTCTACTGACGGAAAGATGACGCTACCCATCACTCTTTTGAAAAATGAAACGATTCGATAGTTTTTCTCATAAATTCTGTACCTCAGAGGTAAACTATCGTAACTGACATTTTGCAAATTTTACCGGAGAGCAGTTGTAACTCAAGTTACTTGAGTTTACCTCTATCATATCATGACAGATACATTAAAGTCACATTGGCTCTGAGCCATTCATTAGCTGTGCAGATAACGACAACTATCCACTCAAGAATATAGACCTCGATAATGTAGTTACATCAATAACCCCAAAATCGAGAATTTTTTAGTTACGACAGTTTACCTGTCAGGTACAGAATTCAATACAATTTTTGCGTAGATATTATAGTTCAGGAATCGCAAAGTTGCGAAAA